CCAAAAATCTGTTTCAGAAAATGCTTACATTTCAGTTCTAGGGGTGGAAAAATACAAAACATTTTCTGGGGGAAAATCCCCGGACCCCCCTACTAGTACATACAATACCACACCAAACTTTTTGTCACCAACAACCATCTGTCATCTCTCCGCACTCAATATAGTATGGTCCCTTTTTGTAGATGTCCACCCCAGAGCAGGGAAATTTTGAGTATCTAGATTGTTGGAAATAGCATTTTCAGAGTCTTCTTTTTTGCTATTTGTGATTATAGAAATCACAACTCTAGACATGGTATTTAAGTTCAAAAACTTTTATGACCCCCCTCCCCTTTCTCTGTGTTAAAACTTTTTTGACCCCCCCTATTTATAAGGGTAAAACTTTGTCCCCCCCCTCCCATTTCCCCCCCTCCCCCTCCCATAAATAATGACCACTCCCTTACAAACTTCGCAATAATAGGACGATGGGGGGAGGGGAAGTAGGGGACTTTGACGTGACAATTTGAATTTTATAAATGAAGTACATGATTGGTGTGAACTCAAAATCACAGGCTCACACAGAAAAATATCGATAGGCAACTTATTATTTATGATATTTTGTAGTGGTCTTGCTAAAATTTGAACAAATAAATACGGAATACATGAGTGCCATTGTGATACCCCAGTTTGTATAATAATTTTTAATTGTTTGTATGCTATTTATATTATGAACTACTTTATTGTAAGCCCAGTGGGAGGGCAGTTTGACTTACACATTTCCCGGGGGAGGGAGGGGGAATTAATGCATTAGAATCATGTTTTTGCAAAGTCCCGGGGGTGTACCCCCAGGGCCAGGCCATTGATATGTGCATTATATACAAGTAGTAATCGAGTTGAAATATTATACAATAGTAATAAATTATAGTATATTTCAATAAATGAATGTATAGTACAGTACAAGTGTTTCATTAAAATTTTGAAAAATGCCTCACCTGTAGTGCTTTTCAGCTTTTGTTGTTTATTTATTAACATATGGAAACAGAATCACCATAGTCCTCGAAATTTCAAAAGTTTGTTTCCCATCATGACAATTATTTCAATTTCTCGTTAATTTAGTAATTTATTACTCATTTTCTACGGCTCCACACAAAATACTGTAGGTCTGCACCTACCGATACTCCAAAAGCAGACATGCGACATGGGCAAAAATACCACCATTCGTTCAGCTCATTTATATTATCTGTTTGGATCATCATTTATACATTTCACAGCAGAAATTGTGGAGATAGTCGCTCGAATGAATTAATGATCCAGCTTGAACTTGATAGTAGTTGGTAAAGTTCAGAAGAAACCTTTTACACCTATATGTAACTATAAATATTTACTAATTTCAAATCTTCTCCAATGTACTCCTTTTTAAAAATTATAAAGATCAGTGGCTCTCTGGTCAGGGGGGAGTGGGAAATGTCGCCCGCACGCATTTGAGCTGTGGTCAGTTAACGTACCATGAGAATAGTGGACGTGGAGCTCGAAATCCGCCATGTTTTTGCGGACACTTTTCATTTGCGAGCACGGTCTCCAGATATATATAGTAGAGCTCAGTGGTCCAACTTTGTAAAAATCCCAATGAAAGCTGAAAAAATCCCAAGATTTCGTGTTCCTTCACAAAAAATCCCAAGATCCACTTTCATTCCCAGGCTTCTCACTAGTGAACCTATTTCTCCCTATATATATATATATAACAGCTGGGCATTCTGTTGTCGCTGTCTAAATATTGCGGGCGCATTTCTTTAACAAACATTTTGATTCTTCGAACGCTGAAAATATGCATTGTGAGAGGATTTTTTGTCCTCTTTTACTGGTTTGTTCATGGAAAATAAAGTGTTTCTTGAAAGATTAAGTTGTAGTGCTTGTACGCAACGATATAACGACTTAATCGCATGAAAACGTGCGAAGAATTTTTATTTACAAATGGGCGACAAGTGGAAATGTTTCACTCATTGTCAGAGTTTCAGAAGCAGGGTACAGCAGTATGGAAACAAGGAAGTGTTCATATTTTACTCTTGATAGAAGCTGAGTTGTTGTTGTTTCCACAGGTATGTTCAATAATTTGTTTGTTCTTCCTCATCTGGAATAATAAGTGTCTTAAAATACATATTTTGATGAAAATGACACATATTCCTCTTGCAATTTCGTAAAAACTGGCCGTTGCCTTTAGTTAGAAAATATATTTTATGAAAGTTAAATCATACTTTGTTTTATTAAAACCTGAGCTATTCATGGGAAAAATGTGCTAGATGTTGTAATTGACAAATCCACTTGTGAAGTGAAAATGTCATGTTGTCACATGCTTATGAAATTGCTCCTGTATTGGTTTGTTATAAAGTAAAAATTGCTGCAAAAATGCTTTTGAAAATGTTCAAGTATTGGTTGTTATGAGATAGAAAATGCCGTATTGATTTGTTCAGTTTTAAGAGTCTAACGGCAATCCTGAATATAGGCATGCTTGCTTTGTGAAATTCTGTGGTGATATGGCATATAAATAAAAATATCTTAAAATTTTGCCCATTGCCTCTCTCCGAAATATGGCTTAAAACTATCCTTATTAGTCAACCTTCATGGAAAAGTTAGTGGGTATGCTGGGAAAAATGCGCGCGGCACTTTTCTTGGACACTGAAGATGGTAACATTTGATGTTGTCATATATTGCCATCCTCTTATCATAGCATAACTTAACTTATTTTAGTGAGTTTGTTAAAGAGTTGTGCTCATTATATGCCTGTAGTATCTAAGATTTTTTCATAGCATTATATGACAAATTTAAGTTCTGTTTTCTTTTATTTTTAGGTGATAGTATCTGTTCACTTGAGTGTTGGTATCAAATTTTGGACAAGTTTCAATTATTATTTCACATTCCTTTATTCAAATATCCAAATAAATGGAATATGACATCAAGCTGGAGGACTAGATTCTGTTTCCAAACTTGTTTTTGTAAAAATAGAAAATAACAACTAATTCTGTGTTGTTCTAATAAAAACTATTGTTTTTGATATGCATATTTAATTTTTAAAATTACAGTCATTCTTTGTTAAAATGTGTACCAGGAATACTGAAATCTTTCAGATCAGCTACCAATTCCCTTTATAACTTATGTAGCCAAGTGTTCTATCTATTTCTGTTCAGATTAAACAAGTGATGGGTAAAATATTAGTTTAGATTCTTTAAAAAAAAATGAGCTTGCCTATTTTCAAAGCATAAAAAGCAATAAAATAAAGCAAAAGTACTTATTTTTAATTTAAAACCTTTGGATTGCATAGCTTAATGTTTTCCACTAAATATTACAAAGTTTTCATTCATTGAAATGTTGTTTTATCAGCTTTAAAACCAGATAAATCCACGAAGCACTCCTAATATATGTCGCCATATTGATTTTTTCGCGCATGCTCCGTACAAAATACCCAGCTGTTTGCTCACATTTGTTTACATTTTTGACACATGCGCAGAAGCGACTGTAATCTAGCTTTAAGGAAAGTCTAAATTCAAAACTACATTGCAGGGGAATCAAGGGGTAGGATGAACTAAGGCAGCAGCCCTCATAATTTTGTCTGATCCTCTTGATTTCCTAACTATAGTGTACAAAGAATAGGGTGAGGCGGTTTTTGTTTGTCAAAATCGTGTTATGGCGGTATTCAAACAGTTTTTCCGAATTTCCCCCCGATTTTTTGCCTACAGAACAACAGTGATCAACATGAGTTGAATCAGTTTTAAAAAAACATTGTTTTTTTTCAGGCCAGTCACGGCTGCAATATAATTTTACTGAGTGAGTGAAAATTTTGTATGGAAATATTAAAATATCATCAAAGTTTTTATTTTCTGGATGTTCCACTGGTTTTTTACTTTTTTCTAACATTAGAACGAGATTTGAATGGAATTTGATGAGATAAACTACGTTAATATGTTGAGTTCTACAAACATTTGTTTACTTTGCATTCTTGACAGTGCAGGATACAAAAACGGGTCATCCACAAAACTATATGCTTTAACATGGCAGTACTTCACAAGAATCTGACATGCAAATAAACAAGATGCCAGATGGCACAAAAGACTTCCAGGTGCCAAAGTGTAGCCCGAGATGCCATATAATTTGACATGCAAAGATGTGTTGAACTAACATTGAATGATTTTCTAATTGGAAATTTTGAGTGTAAATTTTATTTACTAGACCTAACCATGAGCAGCTGCAAAAAATGCAACTACGGCCCTCTGGCAGAAATCAAATCTGTGACCCTGCGATTCTGGCGCAGCACTCTAACCAGCAGATCTACAGAGTCCAGTTGTCGAGCTCTAACATACTGCAAGTTCATGTATATACAGTATAACTAAGGTGATATCTTGGAAAGGTAGATACATAAATATCAGGATTTTTGGGCATGACAGTGTCTAGAAAACCTGTGACTTTTGTTGAGCATTCACTGCCTCTTTTGACATAAGTGTCACAAGTCCGCAGCAAGAATCGAACACACATTCTCAGAGGTGAAAGGTACTCTGATGATTGCACCACCAAAGCAACAGTGTGTCCAAAAAAGATAGCTCACTGATCATGTCTGCAGTGAAAATAGTGCGTCAGCTACCAGATATTTAACAATTATTCACCGAAGGCGAGGTGATTATCGGGCAATAATCGCCGAGACGAAGTCGAGGTGAATATTCCCCTATAATCACTGAGCCTGAGGTGAATAATTGTTTTAGTACTTTTACACAAGTCTTTTGTGTTATTTGGTACTGAATTTATTTTAATTTCGCTTATTTCTTTATCAGTAAACGTCCACAAAACGGCTAGCCGCCATTTTGAAAATTTCAGTTTTGTTATATTCACCTGTAACAGCTTAATATGTCAAATTTGACCAATCAGGTTGTCGGATTTGTTATGTTCACTTGTGCAAAAATACTAATGAGAATTATCCTGGGAATTTTGACCAACCATACAGAAGAATAAAGTTTGAATGTATAACAATTTTATTTATATTCTAAGATAATCAAATGTTTCAAAACAGATGCACCCAAGGGATAGATCGAGGCAAAATATTTAAACATTTACTAACATAAAGAGCCACAAAAAACGTCTGGGCATCGTAAATTTTATCCCCAGAATCCAGACTGTGTACTGTATTCAAATTCCAAAAGGCCAGAAGACAGAAGCGGATGAGGAAATAAAAGATAATAAGTTTCCGGACTTCCGGTTTTCTTGATTCTAGGCTGGTTTCGTACTGAAATCGCATATTGAATTATGTCGAATGGCAAATCGCCCGCACCCAGGCAAAAAATCTTTGTCAAATGCCTGTCTGTGGGGATGGAATTCATGATCAAATCCCCACCCATTGCCCGCACCCTTACCCCCCAAATTGATAGGTGCATTAGTCGGATGTTGTCCGATGTCCGACAGTAATTTGCAGCCCTGCAGACCTATATTTAAACCACGGCATTCAAATTATGGAGGATTCGACCAAAGTGACCTGATTATGTCAATTCGTGATTCCCCTTATTACGTTTTCATAGTGCTTTGCATTGTGGTTATAGTGGTATCACTGATATTCAAGATGGCTTATTTTTTTTTGTCCTGATGCGTGAAAGAACTTTTAAAAAAAGCTAGGGTCTGGTGCGCCGTGCGCGATAGCCAACAGCAAAATATTCGCAAATATTTTCACTCGAGGCCGCTACTTTATCAGTGATACCACTATAAACCACAATGCAAAGGCGCTACGAAAACGTAAATTATATGGGGTAATCGCGAATTTTTGCGATCAATCTGTTCATATTTTAGTCGCTATTTTACCTTGTGAAGTAGTGTTCCTCTTCCTTTCAACCAATAGCTCTTTTCCACTCTAAGTGTTTGTGTTTCTGGACACTACAAGACCTACAATGTATATTTTTATCCAAATATATTATTAAAAATTTACAAAACAAAGTGGCATGGTTATACTATATTGATTATTGACTGACGCTGGTCAAACATGCGGGCTATATACCCGCGAAGGTATGCGGGTAATTTATATTTATCCAGTTCTATATCCGAGATCAGTTGGGTTAGCACTTTTTTCCATCCAGCAAACCGCCCTATCGATTTTGTAAAGTCGTTTCTTTTTGGATTTTTTTATTAATTCGGTTAGGGTTAGGGTTAGGGTTAGGGTTGAGGTTAATAGGGTTAGAGATTAGAATAGGGGTAGGGTTTGGAACCTCTTCTATCTTGCGAAAATGACGTCAGGTCAGTTTGCTGGATGGAAAATAGTGCTAACCGATCAGTTGGTGCAGAAAAAAACAACAATATGGCGGCCGTTTACAGTTGTCGTTCGATTAAACGTGGGAAAGACGAAATTCCCGATTTTTTCCCTCAAATAAATGGCCAGAAAGAGGTAACGTTTAAAATACTAATATTATTTTCTAATACACTTTAAATTGCATTTTAATCCTGCCATCAACGCTTTTTAGGACGAACTGACAGAGGATAATGTCAAACGTGGCTTCAGTAACATAGGAATTGGCAGTTTAACTTCTCACGAGGTGAAGTATCTATCGTATTCTGAGTTACATTAGACAGACGCAAATATATTTACATATATACTAAACATTTTACAATTTTTCAAATCCTTGTCCTGACAAAATAAACTATATAAGTAATATTAAAGTGTTGAAGAATCTAGACTCACAAATCTCGCATGTTTAATGTTTTCAGTAGTCATATATTTTTTATATTTAATGACGTAGTAGCAGGATTTCTAATAGAAGCCAGCCACCAGGGCTTCGCAATATCCCGATGACACCAGATTTTAAATTTGGATACTGGAAATCGCAAGCTCAGTATCCCGAGAAATTTGAAAAATTCAAATTTGATGCCCTGGCCACCAAAATGTCCACAAAGTCTTCTCTGAATTTCTGTTGTGCACTTGTATCAGTAGCCTCCTGCACCGATGTCGTTGGTGGTCGAGGCCCCACCTAACGTCTGCTTACATTCGCTATGCATTCATCTTCCTGACAATTAGCCAATCACAATCATCTACACGACAATTGAAAGATCGACCTTCACTGACCTTCATATGGAAAATCCAAAATAAAAATATAATCATGGAGGGCTATTATCAACAAGTCTGTAGTATTTTTAAAGTTGAAAGTTTTACTGCGCATCAGAAAAAGACTTTTCATTCTATTATAAACAAAAAGAAGGTGTTTTCGTAAATCTCAGGAAAGTCACTTATTTATCAAGCATTATTCGATGTAATATTTGGTGGTAAACATTTAGTAATCGTGGTTTCGCCATTGATAAATTTAATGCAATATCAAGTAAAAAAACTACACGATCTAGGAGTCAGTGCTGTGTCGTTAAGTGAAATCGAGAGCGATGAAGAAGCGCAGGCATTGCAAGAAGGGAAATATTCTGTATTACATGGCATACCAGAATCATTGTTGAAGACCGAACAATGGAGACGAATATGCTTTCCGACAAATTGTATAACAAAATGGTTAGTGCTTTGGCTATTGATGCATGAATGTATTATAATAAATCCAAAACATGTGTTTGCTTTTGTAAGTCTCAAAGCCACAGCAATCAATTATCGATCGGCCTTGGCCATTTTAATATTCATTATTTTACATTGTCTTCATTGAATTTGGTTTCTTATACATTGCCACATATTATCTATGGCACTGGGCTTGAATTTTATTGCAGTAATTGCCGTAGAGGGAGAACAAAATGCTGTGTCTCGAAAGCCAAGAATCTTACTAAGCTTCTAAAGAAATTCATTGCGGAGAAAGGAAGACCACAGTACTGTAGATATGCTCCCACAATGGAACCACATTTGTTGGTGCAACTAACTAGCCAAGAAAAGTGAGTAATGACGAGAAACCTAAACACTACCTTGCTGAGAACAATATCGTCTGGAGGTTCAATTTGAATTGCGCCCCATGATGGGGCACCTGAGTTTGAGAAAATGGTTGGTCTTGTGAAGCATGCCCTACATAAAACCATCGGAAACGGTCTTCTGTCCTAGAAAGAATTCGAGGATGTGTTGCTTGTCAAGGTGTGCTTGGATGATTGACCAATGAGTTACATGGAAGATGATGTGGGCGAGATAGTCGTAGGAATATACATGTGGATTACGAGAAAGACATAACCTTATCCATAAATTAAACCAGTCCAAGTTATCCGTCGGAGATGTGATCATGATAATTTAGAGCGATGAGATGAAGAGAGGAAAGTGGATCCTGGGTATTGTGGTGGAACTGTTTCCAGGCCAAGACGGAGTGGTGAGTTATCTCGAGAGGCCAATAATACATCTATACCCACTTGCATTGTCTGTTTGACAAACTGGAAACGCACCAATTACCCAGCGCCTTGAACACGGACGTGAAAGAATTCAGACCGAAGAGAAGAGAGGCAATTGTGGTGTAAGAGTTTGAACTTTATAGCGAGCATTGATTCATGTATCTGTGGTTGTTTAGTTCTTAAACTTATACATAACTATAAATATAATTCATTATTACGTAACTGGAAGTCATGTGATTTGACCTGACATTCAGTGGTGACATGTTCTGGAAGAAATCGGGTGTTCATTTGGCAAATTTCTTTCTTTTTAATGATTCAATTTAATATATTCTACATCAACATACACTATGATTTATTGTTAGTACCAATCATACATTTCCCAGGTTAACAATGATTAAAATGCTGTTACTGTCTTTTTAGCTTTCTTCGGCACGAGAAAAAGTATCACAAATTCCTGTTAGTAAGGTTAGTAAATACCTGCATGTATTAGTATAATTAATAATATTTCACTTTATGTTTTATTCTCCCTTATTTTGGCTGAAAAGTTCTCAGCGGATGGAAACATCTTGATGATGCTTATTCATCATCAGTTACTGTGAGGCCATGATGTAACAACAATGCTAATCGTATTGCCAACCTTGTGTGAGTCATGTCATTATATTGCCTGTAAATGTTATGATTATTTTTATTTGCATTAAAAGCTATTGCAAAACTTTCAACTGATATTTATAACTTTCCCTCTGGTTACGAGATCAATCTTACTATCAGTTATCTAAGAGCTACACAATCGTGGCCTTGGTTCTCTTAAGACACACCACTTTTTCATGAGTTTTAACAAGTATGATCGTACTATAGTGGACCAGGAACTGTGTGACCCAGTTTCGATCTTGTGCAAATCGTTAAATGTTCAAAACCTTCGAGACTTTGACTTGATAAACAAATAACTAGACACTTGTGAAACTAATGTTTTCCAAGTTGGCAACGTAGACTGAGTTCGCTAAATGTTTTGCAAGGTCATGCAAGGTATACTTTATCCACGCAAAATGTCAGTCTAGTGCCGTGTATAAATGAGGTGTAAATCTGGACAAAGCATTGATAACTAAATGCGCAGTTTTCAAAAGTATTTCCTTGCATTTGAATTCGATAGATAAGTTAAATGTCCCACAATATTTAGAAAAAACATGCCGTGCCTAAGTCAGCTAACTTTTGCCGTGCATCAAAGTTTGTTGTGCCATGCGTTCCATTAATTGCAAAATATTGCAGCTACAGTCGTGCACGTGCCGTGTACGAGGCTTAAGTTAAGGTAACAAATTATCTGAATTGTTGCTAGGTTAATGCAATTTCATCTCGCTTAGTCATGGCTTCATAACTGCATGCTTGTGCTAAAAACAAATTTACATGTCTTTGTTTTTACGGTTCACAATTTTCTATCGGCCTATGAAGAATATTATACTGTACTGTATAATAGCCAGATACAGGGTCTTAGCTAGAGGGCCGTGTTGGCCGTGTTATCGCGGCCAAAAATGGAAAAACACGGCTAGACAAAATAAACGCGGCTTCATTATTTATATAAGGCCGTGTAGGTTCATAAAATAAGGTGATACTGCTTACAACAGACAGAATTTCTTCCTATTTACGTCATATGAAAGTTTGTAAAATCTACTGTAGTTGTTGAAATTGGCAAAACTGATCCGTGGTGTTTTAATGTTTTGATGGGTAATGGGAACCTTATGGTGTTAAAATGGTTTTAAATACACCCCCAAGATTCTGGGCCCAAGAGTTGCTGAAATAACTTAATATTTTAATGTCAGTGTGCAACATGAGTGTATGCTCGCCTTGTATTTGGTTGCAAAGCATAGAGCAACCACACGCATTGTCTGTTGTTGGCGAGCATATAACTAGAACCGTGAATTTGGCTATTCAAGGTAATTGACATGTGCACACCCTGGTCATTTCGAAACACGCCCAAGATCTAAAATCCTAGCTAAGACCCTGGCCAGATAGCAATATTACTCCTCTGCGCTTTGAGAAACTAAGCCAGCGCGTGTTAAATTTACTAGTCACTTATACGCTTTCACGTTTTCATTCTCGAGAAGCTTTAGACTATTGTGATTGTGTTCACAACAATAGACAAGCCAATGTCTTTCTTATCGTTTGCGTTTGCTGATATATTTGCTGAATATTAATGATATGTATATATTATTTGCTACAGATACAGTCAAAAATTGCTTGTATCTTGCTTCTAAAGTCAAAAATGAAAAATCGAACACCGTCAATCGATGCGGAATATTGATAAGAATAATTGTGTTAAATTTCATTCTGATCAGACAAGTAATGATGGAGCCTTAGGTTTTTTTCAAAGAGCGTCGCCCCCTAACAACAACAACAACAACAACAACAACAACAACAACAACAACAACAACAACAACAAGATTAGCAGTGATTGGGGACCAGTTCCTGGTCCAAAAATATTACATACATGCTCCTCTCGTTCCGAATAGGGGAGACGTGCTCTTAAAACTAATACAGTTACGTGTCCCAAATCATTTGGCCAGGATTGTAGTAATCAACTTCTAAATATAAACATCGTCACTACATATTTTATTATTTTAAAATTAACTACTTAATTATTAGGTAATGTCCAAGCGGCAATAATGCGAATGGGACCACACTGTCCTACTTACTCCTATGCATGCCTGGCCACTCTGTATGTGAGGAATTCGCAAAATGTCCTAGATGCATGCCTCATGTTACTCTCCTAAATAATAAATAAACATTTTCCTATTGCCTAGATGCCAAGGGTGGGTAGTAGCGAAGTAGTTGTAGTTCGCTACTGTAGCGAACTACAATTTTCAAGTAGTCAATAGTTTTTGACTACTTTATTAAAACAGTAGCTGTAGTTAGAGTGTATCTAAAAGTCGAGGGTCGAGAGTCGAGAGTAAAAGTAGAGAGTCGAGAGTAAAAGTCGAGAGTCGAGAGTAAAAGTCGAGAGTCGAGAGTAAAAGTCGAGAGTAAAAAGTCGAGAGTCGAGAGTAAAAAGTCGAGAGTCGATCGAGAGTAAAAAGTCGAGAGTCGATCGAGAGTAAAAAGTCGAGAGTCGGCAAATGTCATCAGAAACAACAAAGTCAAAATATTTTTATTTTTTAACCACGTTTAACACAATCTATATATATAGCTTTACATAGCCATTCCGTAACAAGTACCAACGGCTGAAATACAAACTTTCCAATAAATATTGCTACAACAGTCAATAATCAGTGGCGGAAATTCACTTTTTCCGGTGTGAGGGGGGGGGGGGCAAAGCCTCCTAAATTTCCGACAAAACTTTGAAATTTCCGACGTACCCCCCCCCCCATTTGCACTCGAAAAGACTGTTTTTAGCCCACTTTTAGATCAAAATTTCCGAAAATTCGGCAATTTTCTGGAAGGTGGGGGGTGGGGGGGTGGGGGCGGCCCACCAAGATTTCCGCCAACGTCAATAATAATAATGTGATAACAAAAACAAAAAAGATTGGATAAGAAAATAATATCGCAATTGATGCCTCAATCTTGCTAAATGTTTTCACATGTCATTTCATTCTAACTGACATGCACATAAACTCCGCTGAATTTTGACAGCCATCTCCAGGCTTGTAACTAAAATGTCACTTATTCATTAACTTACGTTTATATCAAACGAGAGCGTATTAAGAAACCACGTTGATCACAATCTAACGATTCATACAATTGTGAATTCATAAATACGAGCCAGTAAAAATAGGATTCTTTTGTCGTATGTGCGACTCTATCGGGTGGTAATATGTCTCGCACGTGATTGTAAAGTCCTAGTATTTATATGTAGCTTCACATATGAGTAATTTTTCGCGGAAATAGGTGCATGTAAACGCGGGAAGGATGGACAGTAATATATAAGGAAGCGATAAAACTAGTTATTAGATAATAGTTATTCTTATTGAATGTTGTGGCTAAATTTTTGCGAAAGTTTTTGTTTTATATTGTACTGGATTATGCTTTGATTGCATGTATATGCCTCTTGTTTACTTTAATTTCGAGAATTTGAGCATACTAAATTATGTTTCGCAAATATTGTTTGCTTTATGTTTCGATACACAGGGAATGAAAGGTTCAGCTGTCATAGGCGTACGGGCGGGAAAAAACAGGGAGCCAAAAAGAAATTTACCCGACTTTTACCCACTGAATAAAATTTTCCGCGTAGCTAAATTTCCAAAATTGTCGTTGGGAAGTAGACAAAAATATTTTCCTATTTGTCGATTCCTCGTTACTTTTACATATTTCTGGTATTTTCAAATACCATATTGCATATACTGTCTTCTTTTTAAATTTATTCCCCCAATTTTTGGCCGAATTTATTTTGACTGGGGTGCAGGACTGCCCCCCCCCCTCGCCCGTACGGCTATAATCAGCCGTTGTTACGGATCGCTTATATATTGTGTTACTGTAAAAGTATTTTGACTTTGTTGTTTCTGATGACATTTGCCGACTCTCGACTTTTTACTCTCGATCGACTCTCGACTTTTTACTCTCGACTCTCGACTTTTTACTCTCGACTCTCGACTTTTACTCTCGACTCTCGACTTTTACTCTCGACTCTCTACTTTTACTCTCGACTCTCGACCTTTACTCTCGACTCTCGACCCTCGACTTTTAGATACACTCCTGTAGTTATAGCGAACTACATTTTGCCTAAAAGTAGCCAAGTAGTTGACTACTTTTCAAACAGCGAACCGCTATTCGCTACTTTTTAAAATTGTTAGCAACTTGATAGAATAGTATGATATTGAAACACGATCTGCTTAAAATCAATACCTGATAATAGTCAATTCAGTCGCACTCCTGAAGACCCTGAACACTGTAGTTCTTACAAAAATGTTGCTTTGTGTTTACTGTTGCTACTCGTAAGTCGATTTGTTATAGGTTGCATTATAGCCTAGTTAGTAGATGCTCCAAATAATACAGTAGAACTAAAAATATATAGCGTAGCAAAATAGCGAAATAGTTCGCTACATTTTTTAAGCAGTAGCTGCAGTCAGTAGCGAACTACCTGTGTTCAAAAGTAGCAGGGCCGGATTAACGTTCCGCGGGGCCGTGGCATATTATCAGCGTGGGGCCCTTGACCCCCCCCCCCCCCCC